TAAGGACGAAACTATAGAAAAATTTATTCTCTATAAGAATGAAGTTGAAAATCAACTTAATAAAAAATAAAGGTGTTGAGAAGTAATCGAGGTGGTGAGTATGAAACACTATTTGTTGAATTTTGTGCACAAAATCGAAATACATGAAATCACAGCATCTTATTCACCTTAGCAAAATGGTGTTGATGAACGAAAAAATCTTACCTTAAAAGAAATGATGAATGCAATGTTAGTAAGTTCTGGATTACCTTAGAATATGTGAGGGGGAGCTGTGTTATTAACAAATTACCTTTTAAATAAGGTGTCCTGAAAGAAAATGGAAAAGACTTCTTATAAGTGTGAGAGTGTCTTGTTAAAGTAGTTGTACCAACATCAAAGAAGGTCAAGATAGACCCCAAAACTATAGATTGCATCTTCATAGGCTATGCACATAATAGTAGTGCTTATCAATTTCCTGTGCACGAGTCTAAAATTCCAGACATACACAAACATACGATAATAGAATCTAGAAATGTTTCATTCTTTGAACATGTATTTTCGTACAGATCCATAAAGGAAGCAAGCTCTTCTAAAAGGACGCATGTGACTATGATTAGAAATAGACAGGATTAAGAACTAGAAAATGAGGTTGAGGTTGGAATAAAACGTAGTAAAAAAGAAAGGACGGAAAAACCTTTTGGTCTTGATTTTCTGACTTGTTTGTTAGAAACTGAACCTTAAAACTTTTTAAAAAACAGTGAATTTTTCAGAAAGACCTTAATGGAAAGAGGCCATTAAAAGTGACATAGATTTTGTTTTACAAAATCATATATGGAAGCTAGTAGACCTTCCTCCAAGGAGTAAACCACTAGGCTACAAATTAATTTTCAAAAGAAAAATGAAAGCATATGAAACTATTGAGAAGTATAAGGCCAAATTAATAATAAAAGGTAACAGACAATGAAAATGCCTTGATTACTTTGATACATATTCTCTAGTAACGAGAATAATATCTATTAGGATGGTACTTGCAAATGCCGCTCTACAAAATCTTGAAATGCATCAAATGAATGTTAAAACTGGCTTTTGGAATGGAGATTTAGAAGAAGAAATTTATATGGAACAACCCGATACGTTTTCATCACCAGGACAAGAAAAAAAAAGTCCGTAAATTGATTAAGTTATTATATGGCTTGAAACAAGCTTCCAAACAATATCATGTAAAGTGTAACAAGTGCGTTTATGTCAAAGACACTAAAAATGGTTATATCATTTTATGTATATGACATGTTTTTTGTTGATAGCAATGATAGATGATTAAATCTACTAAAAATAGGTTGAATTCAAGATTTGACATGAAATATATGAGTTTAGCTGATATAATACCAGAGTCAAAATTTCAAGAACAACGATGGACTCGTTCTAAGCCAGTCACATTATGTAGACAAAATTCTGAAAAAAATTTAACAAAGATGATTCTGGTGTGACTAAAACACCGATATATACAAATCAGCATCTATCTAAAACAAAGGCGAATGTGTATCTCAAGTAGAATACTCTAGGATCATCGAAAGTTTAATGTACTTGATGAGTTGTACAAAATCAGACATAACTTACACATTTATTAAACTAAGTAGACATACGAGTAATCAAGGAATTGACCACTGGAAAGCAATAGTAAGAGTACTAAGGTACTTGAGATATACTCGTAACTATGAAGTGCACTATACCAAATATCCAGCAGTCATTGGAAGATATAGTGATGCTAATTGAATATTTGATATAAAAGACTCAATTTCCATTAGTGAATTTATGTTCACATTGAGAGATGCAGCTATATCAAAGAAATCCTCTAAACAAATAGTTATAGCCAGATCTACAATGAAATCTGAGTTTATAGCTTTAGATAAATGTGATGAAGAGATTGTAGTTACGTAACTTCTTAGAGAATATTCTGAGATGGTCTAAACGTGTATCAACAATTTGCATATACTGTGATAGTCAATTAGCTATTGGAGGGCACAAAATAACATGTATAATGGTAAGTCTAGACGTAATACTATAAGGCAACCACTCTCAACTGGAGTTATCTCAATTAACTATGTAAGGTCAAAAGATAACATTATGGATCAGCTAACCAAATGGTTAAATAGAGAGTTAATTAGAAAATGATCGAAAGGAATGAGACTTAAACCCTTGAACGAATGAGTTAATACAAAGAAACCCAACCAATTGATTGGAGATCCCAAGATCTAGGTTCAAAGGGATGACCTAATTGTGAAGACTTAATTGAATCACTGTGGGGAATATAATCTCATGTCCATTGTTATGATATAATAGTGATGCCCATAAGGATGAAGGATAAGCAATAGTCTCTTAATGATTCTTATGCTTCGAAGATCGGGCGAAGTAATATGAGTTACATGTAATAAGAAATCATCTATGTGAGAGAGAAGTGGAATTGCTTCAAAGGGAATTGTGTGAAGCTCAATTCTAAGAAGCTCTCACAGAACCAAGAAAATGTTTATGGCCAAAATGAACATAAAACTGAGTTATGTACCATTAGTGAATTTATGTTCACATTGAGAGGTGTAGCTATATCAAAGAAATCCTCTAAACAAATAGTTATAGCCAGATCTACAATGAAATCTAAGTTTATAGTTTTAGATAAATGTAATGAAGAGGCTGTGTTTACGTTACTTCTTAGAGAATATTTCGAGATGGTCTAAACGTGTGCCAACAATTTGCATACACTTTGATAGTCAATTAGCTATTGGAGGGCACAAAATAACATGTATAATAGTAAGTCTCCACATAATACTATAAGGCAACTATTCTCAACTGGAGCTATCTCAATTGACTATGTCAGGTCAAAAGATAGCATTACGGATCCGCTAACCAAGGGTTAAATAGAAAGTTAACTGAAAAATTATCGAAATGAATAATACTTAAACCCTTGAACGAATGAGTTAATACAAAGAAAGCCCAACCAATTGATTGGAGATCTCAAGATCTAGGTTTAAAGGGACAACCTAATTATAAAGACTTAACTGAATCACTGTAGGGGATATAATCTCATGTCCATTGTTATGATATAATAGTGATGCCCATAAGGATGAAAAATAAGCAATAGCCTCTTAATGATTCTTATGCTTCGAAGATCGGGCGAAGTAATACGAGTTACTTATAATAATCAATCATCTATGTGAGAGAGAAGTGGAGCCGCTTCTAAGGGAATTGTGTGAAGCTCAATTCTGAGAAGCTCTCACAGAACCAGGAAAATGTTTATGGCCAAAATGAACATAACTATAAGAACTGAGTTGTGCTATGAAGAAGCCTGTGTAGAGTGTGTTATCGTTTACAGAAATGACAGAACAGTTCAAGAACATCATATCTATTAATTAGTTAGTAAAGTAAATATACTTACATAAGGGAAAATTCAAAGGGGTTACACCTACTTATCCTATGCAGGTTTCGATCGTTGAATACTATCACCATGTCTTTTTGTCATTGTTGTTAATTTCATTCATGTGAGGGATTGTTGGAATATAATATATTAAAGTAATGTATTCAAATTGAATGAAATTGTAACAACAATTCATAGATCTCAAATCTAGTTAATTTGTATTTGAATTGGTTCAATTCCATAATCAATTTGTGGTTACAAATTAATTCATGTATATTGTAACATTATTTGTGTTAAATACAAAATTAATTAAGAATTTGAAATCTCCCTCATTCTAGTAATTTATAAGGAAGTGTTCTCTTCGTTATTCTTCACTCCAAAAAATTTTTTTTCTTCACTCTGTTTCCTCTTTATTTCAAAAGTTTAGTTCGTAATAACTTAAAAAATTTAGTTCTTTGTTTTAGTTTGGTGATAGAATTGTGGACATTCTTAGTTTGCCTAAAGTAATAACGAGGTGTTAATCAACTACTTTTAATTGTTGTATACTAAAAGATAGACGCCATCAGCCATTTTCCACCACAGTGGGGACAAATCTATTTTAAGGAAACTGTATGCAACACAAGTCTCGATTCCTTTCAATACCGCTATTACCTCAACAACGATTTCCTCTAATTTTACTGTTACTTTATTTATTGTAGTGTTTCCTTACATTATTTTATTTATACAATTCCAACGATATTTCTAATTTTCTTTTTGTATTTTTCCTAATAGAGAGTAATTATTTGGTTGCATTTGTTCTTTCAAATCATTGTACTTAAATTGACATTTGTTAGAAAATAATGCTAACAGCATTTGAAATAGTTGCATTTGCAGCATATTACAGATATCAGCTGTAAAGAAAGGAAATTCCGAAAATCTGAACCCGGGATCACAAAGAGAGAATGAAATATAATGGTAAGACATATAATGGTGAGTAGAACTAAAAAGTGATGACAGGACAATAAAGTAAAAAATGAAGTCTATATCTTGCACCTCAAAGACTCTGGCTAGGACTACACCTTTTCAGCAAAATACAAGTACATGAGGAATATCTAAATGACAACAAAAATGCAGATGAAGAGACACCATTTGTTACTTTTTCCTATAGCAGATTCATGTAACATCGAATAACAAAATTTGAGACGAACAAAGAAGTGGAAGAATGGGAAAAAATGATCTTAGATACGAGAAGCCAAATTTTCTTCGAATTTTGAGCTATTTTAGATTTTCTTTATAATATTACAGACCTTCTAGTTTTCCATTTCCTTCTCTTCTTCCACCCCCTCTTTATCCTTTTTTTACGTAATTCAAACCAAGTATTATAGGCCGAGATGTATTGGAAGCTCTGCAAGAGCTGCAGGACGAATACAGATGAAGCTTGGGATGAATTGATATACAAGGCAATGTGTTAGCTGAAGTACGAGTCTTGTTCGCAGAATCTGACCAGTCCATGTCTATATTAAAATTCCATTTATCTCTAATTTTCCCCCAGTTTCACAGTGAATGCTGAACTATTGTGCACTTGTTTTCAGAAGATAAGAGGGGACGAGGGAGGGAGCGAATTGAAAAGATTTTGTCATCGAAACAAGGGCAATTTACCCCACTGATGCAGAAAACCTTCTCCAGTGGTCACTTCCAGGACCAGCAGAACAAGGACGGCCAACATAGCTGCTCTTCCATTCCAAGTTTCAGCACTTTTTGTCCAACCCCACTCCCAAACTGTCACTGGAGGTGGTAGCTCTCTACGTTGTGAATCATATGCTGCTAGTAACTCTTCAATGCTGCCAAGTGGAACTAAAGACTGCAGAGAACAAGCAAAGTGCCAATATTTAAACATAATGGTAAAGCAAAATGTAAACTAATACAGTGTGAAAACTCAAAACATTAAACTCTCTCCCTTAGAGTTAGTTCAGTAATTATTATGTGAAAAATGAAGACGTGGTAGTTTCTGTAGTTGTGCTAGGTTACACGAGGACATAGGAGAAAATATAACTCATTTTGTAAGCAAAAAGTAGATCCCTCCCAGTCCCCCCAAATCAATAACCCTTCACTAGTTTGCAAATAATTTAGCCAAGAACTAGAGCACAACTTTCCTTCTCCCCCTAGGAAAAAAAGGAGAATGAAATAGGAAATATAGAATAGTAAATGACCCTATCAGCAAAACTAAGTCCTTACTAACTTAAACCATAGATGAATGCTTAATGTCAAGTATAACAAAGTTGCTGGTTTCTACGCCCATTAGTCGGCCGCTTAACAAAACTTCAACCTACAAATTTGTCATTCTATTATCGTAATATTACGTTTTATTCATACTATCTAATTAAATGCTTAAACAAAGTGAGGAGTAACAAAAATTTAATACGTAAAAATGCAAGGGTCAACATTATTAGTAGGAGAAGTATGCCAAGTAATAAGAAAAGGTAATTCATAGTTTGTGTAGTTAATAGGGAAAAGTGGAGGTACTGGTGTGTAGTTAACCACATTATTCAACCCAGCAAAACCGATGGCAAGACTGATTTTATATAAACCATCTTAACAATATACTACTTTCGTTGCACACTAAATTATCAGGAAAAAAGGCACAAAAAACAAAAATGACCTAAATCCCATCCATTTGTGTGACTGCATGAGCAGTTCGACAAAACCAAGCATTAAGTCATTTCTTCGTCAAACATAAAGAAAGAACGTACATAGTACACTCTCAATTCAATAAGCATTATCCCATATTTATATGGGGTTGGCTTCATGAATCTTCTTCTACTTGTATATAAACTTTTTAAACACGCGATATTTCAAACTATAGTTTTTTCAAATCACCATTACAATTTAATAATGATCATTTTCTGGTTTTATTTAACTAGACTCCAATTGAGTCCTTACTTTCACGTGCAAACAATGTCTCTGAGTTCACTTCATTCATTCATGTGGTAATTACTACATATTTCATCTTACTATTAGATGATTCAAAAATCCTATTTCACATTAGAAGTTCGGAATTCATGGTTCACCTGTCGAGCTTCGAGATTTGAGACAGCCATTGCTCCAACATACGGAAGACTTTCAATCACCGCATCAGCCAAATCTGAAATGAAAGTGGGTTCACAACCAAGTGCAGGAACACGACCCCATTTCTCTATACCAGATTTTAGAGCCAACTCCTTGTATTCAACATCTATTTCCTCCAATGTTTCAATATGTTCACTTACAAAACTGTGATGAAAATCAAGATAAAGAATATAAGTTCACAATTTAAAAATGAAATGCAGATACATGCAATCTTCGCACCATGCCCCCACCAAAAAAAAAATTAAATAAATAAATAAGAGAGACAGAAAATGTTCAGAACAATAACAATATCAAACGTCAAATTCAAACTGATTAGGTGAACATTCTCATCTACCTAATTGGGACAGCTAAAAGACTCTTAACTCCTTTACGTCCAAGCTTAATAATTGTCTCATCTGTATAGGGCTTCAACCATTCCACTGGTCCGACCCTACTCTGAATCAGAAGAAAACCAATCAACAAATTAGAAAATTAAAAACTAAGAAATAATAGATATATAAAAACTAAATGTACAATTTTATATCATTTAATTGATTTGTCCCCAACATATTTTCGTCTTTCACCAAAGAGTCACATCAATGTGTCCATGTCGTATTGTGTCTGTTTTCATGTTCATACTTCATAATCTTATGTCAAGCTAATTTAGCACATCATGTTATTTAGGAATCTGAACGAGTTTTAACACGACCAACGTGGGTCAACTTTTGGTAGTATCCTATTATGTACGAAATTTGTTTACTCATTCTCTAAACTTCATTATGTATAAATAGTTGTAAACTTCCCAATGAAGTATGTGAAATACAAAAAATTCCCTTCAGAACTGTGTTGAGAAATAATATGGAAGAGTTGAATGATAAAATTCTTTCTTATATGATGCTAACTATTTAAAAGGTTACCATTTTATCTAGCCCCTGCTTAGTTTAGCTAAAAATCAAATTTTTAGTAGATTTTGATAAAAGTTAATGATATGTGTGGTTGAAAAGTTGATAAAAGTTATAGGTACCATGAAATGTGTGGTTGAAAATTAATTTGAGGAAAAATAAGTACTAGAAAATGGGGACCAAACAAGGGCTTATTATCATCAGTCGATGTTAGTAAAGTATGGTGATCTTTTTATTCACGATCCACTTGTGACATATAGGTGCACATTATGGATCCATCTAAAACTAGTTTACGCTTTCAAAGCAAACTGAGATAAAGTACAGTAGTGATATTATGCTTGTCAAAATTGGTCCCCAGGTATCATTGTGGGGCTTAGACTCTGCTTTATCTGTCCAATACTCAAGTTTCCATAATGCACTTGTTAAAACTTCAAATGAATGTGCAACACCATTCTGAGATCACAAGGCAATGATAAACCACTGTCTCATGGACCATCACATCCTGCGTAACTTCACCTCTCTCTAACTGACTGCATGAGATACCCATGTTGGACACAAGGATATTCACTAACCAACTACGGAGGATTAGGTTGTCCCCAAGAAGTGACAGTTTCAGGTATCCGGATTCGATTATTAACCAAAAAGGAAGAATTGATGATATATGCATAGGACCAAAACAAGTTGGATGAAGGAAAAGTGATGTCGAAAATTTATGTGATAGGGAAGATCCCTATAAGGTAAAAGGGTCAATACTACAAAATAGTTATTAGACCTACAATGCTTTGTTGCATTGAGAATTGGACAATTAACAACAAAATGTTCTAAAATTAACATTGTGTCTCAAAATGAATGTATGGAAATATTAAGATGGATAAGTTAAGATTATGAGAAATGCCAATGCGTGGAAGTAGCATTGATTAAGGATAAATAAAGGGAAAGACAACTTATGCAGTTGGGACAAGTTTTGCATAAACCTAGAGAAGCTCAATTTGATAACAGCATTCTAGGAGGCTAGAAAAACTAATATGACTTGTGATTATGAAGGATCTAGTTGCTTTGGATCGTCTAACAAAGGTACCAATAAACCTTAGAGGATATAAGACCAACTGATTAGGAGAACCAAGAGATCAGGAGTACTATATATATGTTAAAGAACATGTTCATCAACATTCCTAAATGATAAAATTACATATTTAAGAATAGAAATATGCAAATATGTTCATGAATACATATATTGATTTCATTGGATATTTCACTACGCTTAGTGATGGATCGAATAAGGTGGAGAAAAACTCCAATGTTCCTCCTTATGTTTTCTGGGAATAAAACTTAGATTGTTGTCATACGGCAATAAACCTAATGAGCTGTTTTCGGTGCACTTCGAAGTTTTTCTTTCCGGAGATACTTCCATAGGAATACATTGAGCCCTTGTTTGATCTCCATTATTTCAAAAATACATTTTTCTCTATTCTTTTCAACCACACATTCTTCAATAAAATAATATTTACTTATTTTTTAACTACACATTCTCTACCAATATATTATTCAAAAATGCATTATTTGCCAAATAATGGGGCTCAAACAAGGATCGAGTAGAATTACAGTATTTTAGCAGTAGAGTATTTACCTGATATGCAAGAGTATATCCATTTTTTATCTTTCTCTTTTCCAGTTCTTCCGTAATCAAATCCACACATTCCTCCATCTCAGCTTTATATGGATCACCAGTTTCCTCCACATACGCTAGTGGTACCCCATGAGCACTAAAAAAAATCATCACCTGTAAAAACAAATAGAACATGAAAAAAGTCTCTATAATGTACAAATCTTGATTTGGGATTATAAAAAATAAAAGGCCATAAAAATATCTGTCACACATAAACAAATCCGAGAAATTCCCTTTTGATTCCAATTAGATCAAAATATATCAAGTCCCAGGGAAGTTGGCTTATAATTCCCGACTATAAAGTAATATGGCTTGTTCAAGCCATTTACATCTTTCCTGAATAAGAAATCAAGCCCATTTCATCAGTTACACATGCTCAGGATTTATGTCACTTTTATTAAATAATTAGAATATAATCCATTCACTCGAAAAATAGTACAACAATTACAAATATGGTTGACCAAAATGAAGGAAACTGTCAAACAATTGGAACAAATATCATGTACTTAGCAATATCTTAATCTACTATATGAGCGAAATGAAATTCCATAACAAGTTGTTCATTATACAACAGAATAAAATCTACTTCTATGAAATTTTATGTATGTGTACAATAGGGATTACCTCCTCAGGGCTCTCAAAGTTTCTTAACTCCTTTTCAATCAAATCTGCCATGGCTTTGATATATCCTTTTCGTTGGTACCAGGAAGGAATTACAGTGTGCTGCATATTGACAAGATATTCATCTTCCCTAATTTAACACATTGACACATGCATCAAGATTTTGACAGTAATGACAAACTACAAAATGTAAATCCAGATGCATACAACTGTTACCTGGATATATTCTCCAGTAGTCAAAGGCTTGAACCACTTGTTGATATTGAGAATTGAGGGTACAGAGGAAGCACCACAAGTTTTGTTATTCTATCTCGTTTAATCTTGATGAAAAGTCAAAAAAGTTGAAATTATTGGCAAACCAATATATATCAAGCCCAGGGAATTTTGAAGAATAACAAGAAATAATGACAATTAAATGAGGAAGAGCTAACGTTATAGTTCAAGTGTTTTTTGAGCTGAACAGAAGAAACAAATAGTATGGAACAATTTAGAAACTAGCAAAAATCACAATGCAGAATAACAAATATCACATAGGTCATATTTCAGAATTGTGACAATCCTCGAGTGTTCTTGGTTTACAAGAGAGAAAATAGATCAAACTACTGTATATAAGAGGATTGATTAATGCCACGAATTCATCAGCTCCAAAGTAGTTAAGCAAGAAGTAGAAACTAAGTACACAGCTAAGAGCTAAATCAATTAAAATATCACGCAGATGGATTTTGACGAAGAAAACGAAACAAAACAAAGTAACAAGACATCCTTTTTCCCCTCTATAAATGAAATCAAGCCAACATTTCTGTTAACATTGAGCATCTCATATCAATATTTCAGCATAAATGGAAACAAAGATTGAACAAAAAGTCACGTTCAAATATGACAGTCAAGTTATCTCACAAAACTGAATCCCTGTTTGTAAACCACTACTGCCAAAATCAGCTCGAAAATTACCAAAATGCCGTCTCAAAACCTTTGCTTGGAGAAGAACCAATGATTTTCCCAGTCTTAACCCTTTCCTTTAACCAGGCCTTCGACTCTTTGGCAGCATTGACTTTCTTGTCCCTAGACTGGAGGCAGTCAAGGGTTACCAAGTCCTTGAGGTCCACATCCAAGGGGTAGCATGTCGGCAATAATGCAGTTTTAGTCCATCACTTTGATGAAGCACTTCATAATAGACTTGGCCAACTTCCTCACAGAGTCCTTATAGAACACCTTAAAAGGTACTTGAGCAACCACAACAGGATTTCGCTGTAGGGTCGGTTTTGTACGTATCTTCATCAGAGGAACCTACAACCACAGCCTTCGGCCCAATATACGGCCATGGAGAACTATCATCGTTTTGTTTGGCTTCAGAAACTTCACCATTTAATCTATCCTTGGGCCAAAATGCGGTTGCTAGAACCGTTTCAGAACCCGCTCCCTCTTCCTTAATGAAATAGATGGTCCGAGGTAGAGAAAAACAAAGCCCAATCGATCTCTCAATCTCTGTTTCTACACTCTCGATGTGCCTCAGTCACACTCTTTGTTTTTCATGGAGTGAAAGGAGAAGCTATCATCTTATTTAAAGTTAAGTTGATCGATTTATGCTTCCTTTTGTTATTTACTCATATGCTTCATGGAGGTGTCAGTATTCAATTTCATACAAACTAATTGTGCATGAACATGGCAAATTTCCATACTGGTAAAAATAAAATTAATGTAGTTGTCAAATTTTCCAAGATTTCTTAAAACTCACTCAGCTTAAAGATATAGATACCATCCACGTACATTCATACGCATCACTAAACAAAGAGAAATCAGCAACTTTAATAGCCTGATAGCATTCAACAACCCTTAACATGATATTAGCACTAGAACCCTAGACTCTGTGACATACAGAGGTTTCCTGCTTACTCTATGCACACGATCGTCCAAATCATCTCTAAATATAGTTGGATATATCTGTTCTAACACCTCTAGTGTTGACTAGTGCATAAATTTCAAAATGTAAAGCTTCTCCAAACGAATCTAAATACACAAAATGAACCTTACACAATATATCTAAGCTGCTTTTGCAGTGCTACATCATGTTACATGTTAAAACCATCATTTCAGAGTAGGAGAATAATAAAGCAAGATTATAGTGGCAATGAGACCTAGTAATGACTGCCACACATTAGAAACCCATCGTCTAGCAATGTTACCTGTTCAATAGCTTCTTTAGTAAATGGATGCCAATGACGCATCCCTACCTAAACCTTTGCAGGGACATTCTTTTCAGATAGTGCCTTTCTCAACTCTTCAGCCTACAGAAATCAAATACTATCAAGTTAAAGAATAAAAATTGATACGAAAATGATATAAAGAATGAATAAGTTATCATTTTATACTTGTCAATTTCACTAAAAACAGAGATGGTATTTAAGATGTGTATAAAACAAAAAAGTAAGCACACAAACCTAACGCTACCAGAACCTACCTGTGAAGAGATTCATTCATGAATTTATAGACGTTGGAATTGACCAAGCTCTCCAAAAGATCAATAAGAAAAAAGGAAAAGAAAAGAATGCTTCTATTATTCCAAACAGGAAAATCCATGTGCACTACTTTGCTCACTCACACTCAATGCCAAATCACGGAAAACATAGCATATGAAATCTTCAAATGAAAAACCCCATACATAACTATTTGGATGGAAGTTTCGTGTAGTCATTCTGCATATCAAAAGCCACAAAATTGTTGAAATTTGACTTTGAAGTTCAAATAATCAACTACTGCACATAGACCACCAGAAGTAAATGAACTTTCAGTTAACTAGACCAAAGAGATACCTGGGCATCAGTTATCTGACGAAGAGGAGAACCACCACCAATTGAAGCATATCCTTCTTTGCTCTTTGGGGCTCTAGCAACGGATATGAATTTCGCCAATGGGTTTTGAAGAAAGCGAAACAATCTCGGCAATCGTATAATATCCTATTTCCAATTCACAGACATACAAAGAATAAAGCATTTTCACCTCCAACACAGTTTACCATTAAAATAAAAACAAAATGACAAAATTGACAGATACTAACTGGATCGGCAGAAAGGTTGAACAAGAAGGGTTGAACATCCTCAAGAGTTTCAGGGCCTCCAAGGTTCAGTAATAACACTCCAATCTTATCATCACCAACAACCGAGGTGTCTGATACTTCTTGAGCTCTAGACATGACTAATGCTCGCATTTGAGAAGAATACTTTTTGGTTAAGGACTCGAAGATAGGCTGCATCTTACATAACACCGAGGAATCTCTAGCAACTAGGGATGTTTTTGACAAATTAGAATTGGCACAAGTCTCCGACACATCCGTCGAGAAGAGTTTTTAGCTCGTGGCAGTAGCCTGTAAAGACGAAGCCATCCAAAATTATGTCAAAATTTTATGTCTACATGAGAAACTAGAGCACAAAATCATAAATTTCACATATCCATATTATGGTACATAGTTATCTTCTTATCTTGGATACCTATGCTCTTAGATTTTATACGCAATAAAGTGAAAGGGAGAAATCGACACAAGGATTTAACGTGATTCGACAATGTGCCTACGTTCACAAGGACCAAAGTTGATATATTTTTATTCAATATGAATAATAGGGTTACATCATTATATGCTGACCCTAACCCTTGCCCTAGCCCATAAAAGACTTTTGGGCCAGTACAAGTGGTGCGCTCCACTCCACTCCTCTCCTCTCCACTCCGATATCGATCTATTCTTCCAGTAAACCTGTGTTACACTCTGTATGAGCCACATATACAATATATGCCTTGAGGAACAAAGAATTTCTGTGTACATATTGATATTCCTTGAGTTTGTGATAAGTAGATAAGTCAAGATGAAGCCAATTTAATGGGAAGTCAAACCCTCTCTCTCAAATTATAACCCGTTTCTTAAGCTTCACAGTCATCAATAATTCAATGATAATCGAGATAGTCACAAGGTTCATTATGAATAACTATCATTAACTGTTAGTTTGATGCCAGTAATATTTTGCAAAACGACATTATGAATTAACGTTCGATTATTCGCATATTACAATTTGAAACAATTATTTAAGGTTCCATGATCATATAGGATGTCATAAATTGTATACTCGATTGTTCGGGTATAATGAGACACAATCCGCAACGTGATCAAAATATGTCATTCACAATTGGTACATAAAGTTGGACGCTTTATGTTGATAAGAATACATTGTTAATATAGAAATTTGTCTAGATTTGAGAATAAAAACAATAATGTATTTTGTTGCACATTAAATGAAATTATTCTTATTAAGATTTGTCTAAACTTGGGAATAAGAATAATAATGTGTTTTTTATGCAAATTGAACAAGACCATGTAGATGACTCATTTGTGACAGCTCTGAACGAGACTCTACTCGATTATTAAACAAGTCACCTAAATCCTGAGCGAGTAATGTAAATTTGATTGCTAGTTCAAGTTCTTTGAGGTACCAATGAGTGAAGTCTTAATTAAAAGATTGATCTTGGTGCTTTGGAAATTGAGCCGAAACAATTAGAAATCATATACTTATGATATTGGAATCCGTTAATCATCATAATGAGACGATTGTCACTCTGAGATATTTTCTATAGGCAATTCATCATTGGACTCAAGTTGTGATTTGATCATAACGAATTCGCCTTGTGAAAATGGGACTTAGATGGAAATACATGTTGAAGGGCAAAACGGTCATTTTTCCGGTTTCAATATATTGACGGTCAAACAGGGTTGACTTGTGGAACAATAATTGTTATTGGATCACAATTTGTTTTCATAACTATCACTCAACTTGAGAGTGCAATTTTGATTTTTTCGTAGAATAAGTCGGGATTAATAGATGTATCTCAATTGGTCAAGATTTGACCTAATTAGAAACATCTATTGGAGTTTGAATCATGTGAATCCGGTTAGGTCCCTCTCTTGGCTCTAATAAAGGTGTGTAACTTAATTGATCTACTACAATAAAGTCCAAGAAAATTTGTACAATTATGAAACCCTAATTGAATATTATAAATATGCCCTTTGTGGGCACATTTCTTAAGTTTTAGGGTTAGCCACAACCACATTTTCATATTTTCCAAAGAGGGAGGCACTTGAGGAAACCAATATTAAATCACTAGCAACGGGCCAGTAATTTACCGATTGATGATGTACTGTCCCTTCCCTCAAAAAATGTCAACAAACTGCCACATATTCTTCCTTCAAAACAACAATTTCCTAAAAGTAGAACCCAGTCCTAGCCTCTTCAGTTGCCCATTATCCTCCCCAGGCAAAGCCTAATCTAATTAAGCATGACGCTGAAACTTCATTTTGCATACAGGAATGAAGTTTATATGTAATGAATTTCACAAATTTATTAGCAAAAACAAGATCTTCTATGTACTTAAACTAACAGGATATAAAGTTTACAGAGTTACACTTCTATATACACACAAAATATACATAAAAAATGTAAAATATACGGAAAATGTGTAAATAAGTACGACTTACAGAGATGGAGAACGGGCTTGAATGCGTATATTCATGGATTGATTCATTTCTAAGAGGACTTCTACAGATTTTGTGAAGTGGTCACTTTTTAAGAGTTGAAATTCAGAAGATTTTTCCTTGCAAAACTCTTTCTTGAAGTGCCTTGGGACAGCAGCAGTGGGTTTTATTTTTATTTCTATTTCTATTTTTTGTGTGTTCTAATTATTAACCACGAGTTTCGCGGGTTATCCTCGACAGAATAAATAAATGCCACCTCGTTAAATATTTGAGGGTAAATTTCATCAGGCTATCCTATATATGGTTTCATCACTTTATCCCCCTATAATCCACCAATATTATGAAAATTACATAATTGATAGTCATACTATAAAAGTTTTAAAAAAAGCATTTTAAGATTTTATTATAATGACATTGCTATAATCCTCGGTTTATAATTTTCATTTTATCATGTAAGAATTAATGCATGTAACGGCAATTATAATATGATTGTCAACTAATTTTTTTTTTCTCAATTGGACTATGGAATGTGATAGAATGGTGAAATTTAAAATTAAGTTGAAGTTAACTGAGATAAATAACAGCTAATGATTTTATTTAAAATCTTGTTAAAATATCAATGATTACAGATGAAATTTACCGCTTGTTTAAATATTTTATATTACAAAAATAAAAAAAAGGAAAAATAGAAAATGTATTCCTCTTCTAAGGGATTAGTCAAATATCTAATTTATTTATAACTAGTTAGAATGATGAATCACATATTGTTTGGCATGGGTGGACGCAGAACTTAAAAGTTGGGGGCACAATCGAACTTGCAAAGAAATTGAGAAAAATTTTACAATCGTAAATTTAAGTCTAAAAAAATTATACCCCATATAATTTTGCATCCAAGAATTTACATGAGATGTGACTTTTTCAAATGTAAAATTTTTCTAAAAAAATTTATGTCATATTCCATATGAAATTTCTTAATAAAAGAATGAAAATTACATTGAGAAATTTGTATTACAAAAATAATAAATGTTAATGAAATAATTGAATTTTTTTAAAGAAAATGCGAGTTAAACGTCTTTATTTAAAACTCACGTTTAAAACATTTTTAACTATTTTCGATATTTGTTTGAATTATTTGATATGCTTATAATGTAGTTCTCGAAATAAGTTTTGAGATGAAATAAGCATTTTGTATATTCGATTAGCGTACGATCGTCGAAGAATTTTTAAAATTAACATATTATTGAAATTGTCGAAATATTAATTTTGAACGGCTTACTTTGACAAGTCGTAACATTTGCTACGATTGATCGTTTCGTACGCCATTAACGACGTAGAAAACTAGACCGTGAACACTTCAAAATAGTATTAAGAATGCAATATTTCACCCTTATTTGATTGAGAATTAAGATTTTGTTAAAAGTCGAGAGAAAAAGAGAAAAAAATAAAATTTATTGTGATTTTGCCCCTATTTGATGTAAATTAAAATCAAATTTTAGTAACTTTTGATAAAAGTTAAATAGTTATGAATTTCATAAAATATGTTATTAAAATTAATTGTTAACTTTGATTTAAATTAAGATTTATATTTCAATCAATACCAAACATGATGGATAACTATGAAATGAACTTATGAAATTGGAAATTAAAATACAATATTGGCTCTTAACAAAGCTTGAAATCAGGAACTTGATGGATAACTATGAAATGAACTTATGAAAAAAACTAGGGACTCTACTATTATCAACACAAGATTGTATTGTGGTGCAAGATTTCTTGGAATGTAGGTAGTGGTTATGATCAATTCGATGGAAAAGAAGGGATAGGGTGTATTTTCTTTGGGATTTTCGAAAAATCCATCGCATGTTACTTTAATTCTTTGCCCCCGTTTGAGCCCCATTTTTTCCAATTTCTCATTCTCATTTTTTCATTTTGCGGGCCCCACATTTGACATTTTGGTGAGTTGTTCCAGAAACTTTTTGGTGAGTGAACCGTTGAAATTTGGCTGGACAAAAATACCCAGTTTTTCATCCACTATTTACCANTTAGTAACTTTTGATAAAAGTTAAATAGTTATGAATTTCATAAAATATGTTATTAAAATTAATTGTTAACTTTGATTTAAATTAAGATTTATATTTCAATCAATACCAAACATGATGGATAACTATGAAATGAACTTATGAAATTGGAAATTAAAATACAATATTGGCTCTTAACAAAGCTTGAAATCAGGAACTTGATGGATAACTATGAAATGAACTTATGAAAAAAACTAGGGACTCTACTATTATCAACACAAGATTGTATTGTGGTGCAAGATTTCTTGGAATGTAGGTAGTGGTTATGATCAATTCGATGGAAAAGAAGGGATAGGGTGTATTTTCTTTGGGATTTTCGAAAAAACCATCGCATGTTACTTTAATTCTTTGCCCCCGTTTGAGCCCCATTTTTTCCAATTTCTCATTCTCATTTTTTCATTTTGCGGGCCCCACATTTGACATTTTGGTGAGTTGTTCCAGAAACTTTTTGGTGAGTGAACCGTTGAAATTTGGCTGGACAAAAATACCCAGTTTTTCATCCACTATTTACCAAAATATCTACTATTATTACCCGCATATTCTACTTCTCTGAACCGTTAAAACAAGGGTAGATTCGGCATATTCACAAATTGTCTGCCA